CCTGCCTCAGCCTCCCAAGTAGCTGGGATTATAGGCGCATGCCACCACACCCAGCTAATTTTTGTATTTTATTAGACATGGGGTTTCACCATGTTGGCCAGGATAGTCTTGAACTGGTCTTGAACTCCTGACCTCAAGTGATCTGCCCACCTCAGCCTCCCAAAGTGCTGGGATTACAGGTGTGAACCACTGTGCCTGGCCTCAGCCCATTTTTAAACTGGGCTATTTGTCTTTTATTATTGAGTTGTAAGGGTTCTTTATCTATGCCAGTTAGAATTCGTTATCAGACATATGATTGTCAGCTATTTTCTCCCATTCCATCCTCTGGATTGTCTTTTCACTTTTTTGATAGTGTTCTTTGAAATGCCTTTTTTTTTTTTTGGAGACAGTCTTACTCTGTTGCCCAGGCTGGGGTGCCATGATGCCATCTTGACTCATTGCCACCTTGCCCTCCTAGACTCAAGTGATCCTCCTGCCTCAGCCTCCCAAAGTGCTGGGATTTCAGGTGTGAGCTATACTATGCCTGACCCAAAATTTTAAATTCTGATGAAGCCCAGTCTATTGTTTCTTTTGTTGCTTGTGCTTTTGGTATCATATTTACGAAACTATTGCCTAATCCAAGGTCATGAAGATTTATGTCTATGTTCTTAAGAATTTTATAGTTTTAGCTCCAACATTTAGATTTTTCATCCATTTTGAGTTAATTTTTGTGTATGGTGTGAGGCAGGGGTCTGAACTCTTTGTTTTGCATGACTGTGTTTTCCCCATTCAACTCCGCCATTAAATATATTCAGATCTTGCAGGTGAACACAAATGTGAGGGTTTATTTCTGGACTCTCAGGACTCTTACTTATATTTCATTCATCTCTATGACCTTATGCCAGTGCCACACTGTCCTGATTACTGTAGCTTTGTAGTAGTTTTTGAAATTGGAAGTGTCACTCCAACACTGCTCTTTTTATTTTTTTTTTCTTTTTGAGGAAGGGTCTATGCTGTGTCAACAGGCTAGGAGTGAAATGGCTTGTTCTTGGTTCACTGTAATCCCCACCTCCCGGGTTCAAGTGATCTTCCCACCTCAGCTTCATGAGTAGCTGGGACTACAGGCGCATGCCATCATGCCTGGCTAATTTTTTGTAATTTTGTAGAGATGAGGTTTCACCATATCGCCCAGGCTGGTGTCAAACTCCTGGACTCAAGTGATCTTCCCACATCGACCTCCCAAAGTGCTAGGATTACAGGTGTGAGCTACCACATACCCAGCCTACCACATGCCTGGCCCATTGTTATTATTTTTCAAGACCGTTTTGGCTTTTCTGAGTCCCTTAAATTTCCCTATGAATTTTAGGATCAGCTTGTCGATTTCTGTGAAGAACCAAGTTGGAATTTTGATGGAGGTTGTGTTGAATTTGAAGATCGATTTGAGGAGTCCTTGCCATCTTAACAGTATTAGGTCTTTAGATCTATGAACATTAGTATTTTTCCATTTATTTATCTTTAATTTCTTTCAACAATTTTTGGTAATTTTCAGAGTATAGGTTTTGTACTTCTTTTGTTCCCAAGCCTTTTATTCTCTTTGATGCTAGTATATGTTGAATTATTTTTGTAATTACATTTTTTAAAATTCCTGGCAACTTTCATTTAACATAATGACATTTTTGAAGTGTTCATTGCAAATGTGTAGAAACGCAATTGATTTTTGTACATTGATCTTGTATCCTGCAACTTTGACAAACCCATTTATTAGTTACAACATTTTTTTAGTTGATCCTTTAGGATTTATTTATTTATTTACTTTTTGAGACAGAGTCTCACTCCATCACCCAGGCTGAGTGCAGTGACCCAATCTTGGCTCACTGCAACCTCTGCCTCCTGGGTTCAAGCAATGCTTGTGCCTCAGCCTCCCAAGTAGCTGGGGTTACAGGCACGTACCATCACACCTGGCTAATTTTTGTATTTTTAGAAGAGACAAGTTTTTGCCATGTTGGCCAGGCTGGTCTTGAACTCCTGACCTTAAGTGATTCACCTGCCTTTGCCTCCCAAAGTGTTGAGATCATAGGCATGAGCCGCTGTGCCCAACCAGGATCTCCTACGTGTAAGATCATGTCATCTGCAAATACGGATAAAACTATTTACTTCTTCCTTTGCAACCTGGATGGTTTTATTTTCTTGCTGTTGTATCCAGTACAATGTTGAATGTAAGTGGTGAGATTGGACATCCTTGTCTGGTTCCTGGTCTTGGGGAAAGCACCCAGTCTCTCACCATGAAGTATGATACCAGCTGTAGGAACACTCTTCTTAGAACCTCCTGAAAGATTGGCTGATTTACATCCTCAGTTCCAGCAGTGTACCAGCAAGAGACCTAGTCCCCGGTCCCTCGCCAGCACAGTGACCCCAGGCTTTAGAGGCGAAGAACCCAAGCCTGGGAGGGAAGTGCTGTGTGCCATGTCACACAGACAGCGACCTACAGCCCAGCTGTCCACATGCACTGGGAGTGAGCCCTGGACATTCAGCCTTCTCTTCCCTGGGGTGGGATGACTTGAGATCCCCCTAAAAAAAGCATTGGTACAGAGGAACTTCTGGGTTCTATTCTTGTCTCAATCACTGACTGGCTGTGCGGCTGTAGGCAAGTCACTTCCCCCTGGGCCTTGGTTTTCCCATCTGTGTAATGGAAAGAGTGGTCCACCTTGAAACCTTCCATCTCTGACGATCTCTGCCCCACCCACCCTTAAATTCACAGTGGCTTCAGCATCCACCACTGCCCAGAGCAGCCACCAGAGGGCGTTCCAGACCAGCATTTGGCCCAGCTTGGGTGCAGGGTGCCCTGGGGAGGCTGAGAACAGGGCCTCTTTTCCAGGAGCTGCTAGCTGTACTTGCATAGACTTCCTGTGGCCAGAGCTGCCCGCTCCTCTGGCTGGGCTCTGATCTCCACGAAGGGAGTGATGGAGGCACCATCCCCAAGGCCAGTGACCTAGCGCTCACCCTGCCCGCTTTGGGTTGCCGCCTGAGTCTCAGGGTTCGTAGCAGTAGCGCCAGCAGCCTTGTGTCGCTCAGCCTTGGGAGGCTTCCGTTATCTCTGAGTGGGCTTCTCACTGGTGCTGCATCCTGTCTCCACCAAACTGCCCAAACTGGTGGGTGCCTGGCCACCTGGAAGGGGAACCCCACTGCCCTTTGTGGACGTGAATGCATTCATGCTGGGGGCCTGGACAGTGTAGTCTCCAAAACCACAGCATCTGGGACTCCTAGATACCTCCTGGAAAGATCCCAGAACCATAGAAGCAGGCCTCACGGACGTCAGGGACCACCCAGAACTTCCCAAAACACCGGAGGAGGCTCCATTGGCACCCCCATGACCCCCACCCCGACTCGTGCAGATTTTACCCTTCAAATAAAATCAAAACCTTTGCTTTGAAAATTGAGCTCCAAGACACAGCAGCATCTCCCTACCATCCCAAGAGCCTCACCCCAGCCCCTTTCGTGGAGGGCTGCTGGGCCCCCTCCAATGCCAGGCATATTTGCTTTTTTGCTTTTTTTTTTTTTTTTTTTTTTTTGAGACAGAGTCTCACTCTTGCCAGGCTGGAGTGCAGTGGCTTGATCTTGGCTCACTGCAACCTCCGCCTCTCAGGTTCAAGCGACTCTCCTGCCTCAGCCTCCCAAGTGGCTGGGATTACAGGCACATGCCACCAGGCCTGGCTAATTCTTGTATTTTTATTAGAGATGGGGTTTTACCATGTTGACCAGGATGGTCTCAATCCCTTGACCTCGTGATCTGCCTGCCTTGGCCTCCCAACGTGCTGGGATTACAGGTGTGAGCCACCGCGCCCGGCCACATTTGCTTTGCGTTCTAGTTATTTGTATGTGTGTTTTCTCTCCCCTTCCAGACTGGGGTCCCCTTGAAGGCAGAGTGAATCTCAGATTAATCTTAGTCCCTTCCCGGGGTCTCTTTCAGGACCCTGAATCCAGTAGATGCCCAATAAATGTCAACATAGGAATCCAGAGCCCATCTTCTCCTCACTCGAGGGATCCAGGGCTGCCTCGCCTCTTCCACAGCTATGTGGCTTTGGGGAAGTCACTTAAACTCTCTAATCCTCCTTCTCAGAGTGCCAGACTGCAGCTGCCACATGCAGAGGTAAGACTCAAGACAGGCTTGGTGCCAGGCCACCCCCTAGCTCTCCAGACCTTTCAGATGGCAGTGGCTGGCTACTCAGATGCTGAGCTGGACACTTCAGCCTTATTACCTTCCCCAGTCTTCTTAGGGACAGTTTGAGTAGGTGGCATTGCCATCTCCGGCCTTGCCAGGGGGGACACCCAGGCATGTCACAATGAGCTCCCTTGACTGAGATCACGCTGGTTGGCAAAGGTGTCTGAACCTACAGCCCTGCTTTGAACCGACTCGGGGCAGGCATGAGCAGGGATGGACAGCTCCTGTTCACCCTATAAGAATCTCCAAAGCTCAGAGATCATTTGCTCCAATTTTCTCTTTTCTTTTCTTGAGGTTGAGTTTTGGTCTTGTTGCCCAGGCTGGAGTGCAGTGGCATGATCTCAGCTCACCGCAGCCTCCGCCTCCTGGTTTCAAGTGATTCTCCTGCCTCAGCCTCCCGAGTAGCTGGGATTACAGGCGCCCGCCATCATGCCTGGCTAATTTTGTATTTTTAGTAGAGATGGGGTTTCTCCATGTTGGTCAGGCTGGTCTTAAACTCCCAACCTCAGGTGATCTGCCCACCTCAACCTCCCAAAGTACTGGGATTACAGGTGTGAGCCACTGCGCCCGGTATCTTTTCTTTCTTTCTTTCTTTCTTTTTTTTTTTAACGGGGTTTCACTCTGTGGCTCACTTGGGAGTGTAGTGGGGCAGTCATGGCTCACTGCAGCCTCAACCTTCTGGGCTGAAGTCATCCTCCCACCTCAACCCCTTGAGTAGCTGGGACCACAGGCACAAGCCAGCACACCTGGCGGCTAAGTTTATTTGTTTATTTTGTTTTCTTTTGTAGAAACAGGGTCTTCTATGTTTCCTAGGCTTGTCTTGAACTCCCAGGCTCAAGTGATTCTCCTGCCTCAGCCTCCGAAGGTGCTGGATTACAGGCATGAGCCACCTCGCCTGGCCAGTTTTCCCTTAACAAAGACTGGAAGGCTGAGCTGGGAAAAAAGCGCTGTTGCTGTTCTGTCTCTTCTTTCACACCGGGCACGACACTGGGGACTGTGGAGAAATTAGGGAAGAACTAAAGCCCCTTGTGAGTCTCAGGTATTAAGATTCTATGATTCTTGGGGGCCATGTTCCCAACAGGCCATGCCAGTCTTGGCCGGACTCACCGCCCACCTCTGGGACCTTGGCGGTGGGGCGGGAGGGAGGGGGGACCTCAGAGGCTCAGCGAGCGAGTCGGCCCCAGCCCAGCCGCCAGCGTCAGCCTCCTCCTCCTCCTCCGCGGCACCCGGGCCCTTATCAGGAAAGGATTTGGGTTGGTGGGGAGGGGTGGGGGGAAGTCGGAGGCCCCAGGCTCGGCAAGGTGGGCCGGAGAGATAGGGAAGTGGGGAGGGGGCTGCGGGGCGGCTCTGCCGGCCGGGGGAGGGCCGTGGGAGGGATGCCTAGAATGGGCACGGTGGGGGCTTTGACCAAGCTCTGTCCTTGCCGGCTTGGCCCTCGACACGGTTCCCGGACTTCTGCCTCCCATCCTTGCCAGGCAAGTTGCCTGCACCTTTAATTAGCGAGCAGCAGCCTCTCCCGATTCATCACCGGTCGCTGTTTAATTAGCCGAGCCCAGGGCGCCCCCACCCCCAGCTCTGCCTGCCTGTCTCACCAAGGCTGCCACCACCTCATGGTGTCCCCTGTCACCACCCCCCATACGTACTCTGCTCCCCAGAATGGGGGATGGGCCCGGCACGCCCAGCTGAAACCTCAAGGAGCTTCTGGGCACTGGTGCTTATATGCAAGACATCCAGCAACGTGATTAGGGACCGAGGCTGCGCCAGGCTGGCTCTGGGTAGAGCCCCGGCCGGACGTGCAGGGCCGGCTCTGGTCCTGGCCAGCTGCTGGAGAATGGCTTTCCCTGGGGAGGCGCTGAGCCATCTCTCTGGCCTGGTCCCTGGGTGCTGGGAAAAGGCTGCAGTCCTCCTGTGTCACTCCTCCACAGCCGGAAAGGGACGCCATAGCTTCCTCTTCCTCCCTGTTCCAGAGCGCAGAAAGCTCCTCTGAGAATGCTGGACCTCAGGAGAGGGGCCCATCCTCTGCACGCGGCCCCCAGCAGCCAGATCCTAGAGGCTCAGTCTAAGCTGTGGGCCAAGGGAGGGTGGGGGGAGGTCTCAGGCCTGCTTTGTGCCTGCAGGGTCTGGGGAATCAGGAGCACAGGCGGGAGCCCATGGTCTGGGGCAGAACCAGTCCCCTTCTGTTTCCCTGAAGAAAGGTGAGGCTGAGCGCCCTCGGAACAGAGCCCCCTGTGTCCTTCTGGGTAGGGCCAGGGTGGCCACTAGTCACTGTGGGCAGAAGCCAGAATTAGGCTCCAAGCCTGTGCTCCTGCTGAGCTGTAGGAGGTGCGGCCCTTCCACTGTGCCCTGGACTGAGAACGTGGAGGGACCGGCATTTGCTGTGTTACCGTGTGGGGCCGTCAGTGTGTTGTGCTGGGCAGGAGTGGTCGCTGGAGCCCACCCACTCTGGTACTGCCATCCCTGTGGCCTTGGGATGGCATCAAACCATACCATGCCTGAGTTTCCCCATGATTCGTAGCTGCTTCATGGGCTGTTGTGGGGATTAAAAAGCTTACAATGTGTTTGGATTTTGGTGTGTGTGTGTTTGTTTTTTTTTTTGAGATGAGTTCTCTGTTGCTCAGGCTGGAGTGCAATGGTGTGATTACAGCTCACAGCAGCCTTGACCTCCCAGGCTCAAGCAGTCCTCCCATCTCAGCCTCCCTGGTAGCTGGGACTACAGGAATGTGCCCCCATGCCTGGCTTATTTGAAATTTTTTTTAGACATGGGGTCTCACTATGTTGCCCAGGCTGGGACTTGACAATGTTTAAAGCACTTAGGAACAGTGTCTGGCAGGAGTCCTTGAGAGTCATTGGCTGTTTTTCCCGTTCTTTTGCCTCCTTTATCCAATCAGCACTCCTTGCCAGGTGTGAGGAACTTGATGGCAGTGGAAGAGGCAACCTCCCTGCCTTTCCGAGTTTGCCGCCTCGTGGGGGAGGCAGCTGAGAACAATTGAGTAAGGAAGAACGCTGTTTCATCGGAGTACAGCCTGCGGCTCATCATGGTAATGTACCAACGTCACTTTCTTGGTTTCGACCACTTACCATGGTTAGGTAATAGGCTGACAGAAGAAAAAACTGGGTGAAGGGCCGACAGGAACTCCCTGTATGATCTTTGTAATTTTTCTGTTGCAAAATAATTTCTAAAATTATTCCCTGAAGAAAGTTTATTGTTAAAACACACAACAATTTCAGGCAGTGGTTAATGCCCTGAAGCAAAGAATCAGGGGCAAGAGACAGAATAGGGAGCAGGGGCATTTCAGGAGGGGTAGTTGGGGAGAGCCTCTGAGGAGGCAAAGCTGAGCAGAACCTGAGTGATGGGAAGGGCGGGGCAGGGCAGGAGGAGGGACTGGCGAGTGCAAAAGCCTGGAGGCGGGATGGGCTTGGGCTGTGGGGAACCGGGGGAGCTCAGGCTCCAGATCCCACACCCCCGGCCACTGCACTGGGAGAAGGAACCCCAACTCCGGAGCCAGCCAGAGCCAGGTGTGATGGCCACTGCTGCCTCGCTGTGTGGCCTTGTGCAAGTAGCTGCCCCTCTCTGTGACCTGGATCTGCTGCCAGGGATGGAGGAAGAAATCCTGCTCCTCAGAGGGCAAAGAGGGTGGGAGAAGTGGGCGCGGGTTAGCTTACCTAGGGCGCTGTAGGTGCCATCAAGGGATTGGGGATATACCACAAGGGGCCTGGTGCCTCTGAACCCGGAAGGGTGGGGAAGGCGATGCCCCCTGCCGTGTGTGGTGGGGCTGGGGGTGGGGGGCTGGGGGGGGAGGAGCTGGAACCAACTTTCCTGCACCCCAGGCTCTGTGCCTGAACCTGAGCAATCCCTCATCCTGAGCAATGCCCACCACTGTCTCTCTGTGTGGCCTTGGGCAAGTAGCTGGCCCTCTCTGTGACCTGGATCCGCTGCCAGGGATGGAGGAAAGAAAGCCTGCCTCTCAGACAGCTGGATGGGCGATGTGGTGGGAAAGCTTGGTGCTGGCACGTGGCTCGCTCTCCTCTTCAGCGTCTGCTTCTGAGGCTGGGCAGGAGGACGTGCAGCAGCGCAGGGGAGGGGTCTCCCAGGAGAGGACGGGGCGGGGGGGCTGGGCCCCCACCCTCAGCCACTCAACCACTCGGTTTGCTGACCCAGAAATTCTGGGAAGTCTCAGTTTGGGAGAACATCCCCGGGGGCAGGTCATCAAGGAGAGGAGTGGGGGTTTTGCAGAGGTTTGTATGGTGGGTTCCCAGCCTGAGTGCTAGGATCCTGGAAGGTCAGTGAGCTGGGCAGGAGGCTGTACCTGAGGGCAGCCGCAAATGACCACAGCCTTCGGACAAAGACTTAGGCATGGCCTGTGGCTTAGCATACCCAGAAAACGATTTCTCTCCTGCCTCCCCTGAACAGACGATCAGAATACTAGTGGCTGAAACAGCTGGATTCTCCAGGACATCGAGTGACAAGACCACATTAGTGCCCCCATCCAATTCCCCTCATATCTGAGGCCCTGAGAACCTGGCTTAGGAATGGGAAGGGGCCTGGATTAGGGTGAGGTATGGCACGGGCCTTGGGGTGTGTGGTGGAGACCTCAGCCAGTGGAACCGGGAGCACTGAGGCTGGGGAGCTAAACCCAATCTTGGAGCTTGAATTCCAGCCCTGCCGCCTCCCTGGACATGTGAATCTACCACCAAGAACCTCAGTTTCTCCCATCTGTGAAGTGGGATTTTTATCAGAATTAATTGAGATCTCGCCATGCAGACGGAGCTTCTTACACAATGCATGGCGTAGCATTGGTGCTCCATAAATGTCACTCTCCTCCGTCGACTGGCTGATCCACCTCATTTTCCAAACCTCACAGGGCATAAGGAAGAATTCTGGCCCTTGTCCTGTGTTCAAGAGGCCACTGTCTGGGAGATGTAATCTGGTTGCTGGATGTTAGATTTGCTGAGATGTTTACAGGGAGATGTGAGGGGCTACTTGAATGGGGAACTTTCTCAATTAATTAGGCTCAGGGTCACAGGGCCGCCACTGCAGTTGCCCCCAGGGGACTCCGGATCCTCTGACATTTCCTTTGCCTGAGGTGGGGCTGGGATTCTTTTTGGCAACTCCTTTTTCTAGAAGGCTCCTCGAAGATACCACCTTCTGTCCCAACAACCTTCTGGGTGTCCTGTCTGGTCTGGGAGAGCCAGGGGCAGCTGCACAGGGCAGAAAGAGACCTGGGCCAGTCCTGGCAGGGCAGCCATGGACGTGGAGTGTCCTTCCCACCCCGACCCTCTCTGATCCCTGTGCAGGGCTGACAGCAACCCCCAGAGCCATGAGGCCTTCACGGTGGTGAGTGTGAGAGGGTTTTAAAAACAGAAGGGTGCTTCTCCTAGGTGAGGAAGATGATTTTTAGCAAAATTTCCCGTCTTTTCTGTGATTCACGGAAGCTGCAAGATAGAAATGACCTTGACCATCAGTGTTTTCCAGGAGGATGTTAAACTGACCTTGGGCAGAAAAGAGTGTTTGTCGTCAAATGAATTTGAGAAATAACAATGCAAACATCCACAGGGTCTCCTCTGAAGGGTTTTGAGAACTTTTCATGTGTATGTACGCGCAGGTGTGTGTGTGTGTGTGTGTGTGTGTGTGTGTGTGTGTGTGTGTGGTGTGTGTGTGTGGTGTGTGGGTGTGTGGGTGGTGTGGGTGGTGTGTGTGTGTGTGGTGTGTGGGTGTGTGTGGTGTGTGGTGTGTGTGTGGTGTGTGTGTGGTGTATGTGGGTGTGGTGTGTGTGAGTGTGGTGTGTGTGTGTGGTGTGTGTGTGGTGTGTGTGTGTGGGTGTGGTGTGAGTGTGGTGTGTGTGTGTGGTGTGTGTGTGGTGTGTGTGTGTGGTGTATGTGGGTGTGGTGTGTGTGGGTGTGGTGTGTGGGTGTGGGTGTGTGGTGTGTGTGTGGTGTGTGTGTGTGGGTGTGGTGTGAGTGTGGTGTGTGTGTGTGGTGTGTGTGTGTGGTGTGTGTGTGGTGTGTGTGTGTGTGGGTGTGGTGTGAGTGTGGTGTGTGTGTGTGGTGTGTGTGTGTGGTGTGTGTGTGGGTGTGGTGTGCGTGTGGTGTATGTGGGTGTGGTGTGTGTGTGTGTGGTGTGTGGGTGTGTGGTGTGTGTGTGGTGTGTGTGTGTGGGTGTGGTGTGAGTGTGGTGTGTGTGTGGGTGTGGTGTGTGTGTGGTGTATGTGTGTGTGGTGTGTGTGTGTGGTGTATGTGGGTGTGGTGTGTGTGGGTGTGGTGTGTGGGTGTGTGTGTGGTGTGTGTGTGCGCGCGTGCGCATGCGTGTGCACTTCCAGGAAGTGGCTGGGTCTACCTCAGCACCCAGGCCCGTGTGACAGTGGTGCCCTTTTTTATTTTCCTAGAGCATCCTGTGAGTTAGAAGTCTATGGAATCCACTGTGGAAAATGCCAGGATAGTCGAACACCTCCCCGTCCTCCACATAGCCCGGCTGGAAGAATCTGGGGGAACATGGGAAAATCTGGAGTCCAGAGAAGTTAAACAGATTCAGAAGGTGCTCTGGGCTTT